GGGCGATGGACCCTGCTGTAAAGCATTCACTTTGACGGGGAGGACTGCTCTTCAAATCCCTCTAAACCCCAAATGAATCCCGTGCCTCCCTAGTTATTTATTAATAATACTAGCTGGCTTAGCTTTCACAGACATCCTTATGGAATGGTCGCATCCCTACTAGGTGGCAGATACTGTTGTACTTCACAAACAGGTAAACAGGCCGGGGACACGGAACTCCTCAGAAGGAAGCAAGGACGGATCCTGACCCAGTTGAGTCCGACTTGGCTCTGAAGGTTGAGCTCTTAACCGGCATCCTCCTCACACCCAGGAACTCAGCCCAAGCCGCCATTGGTCAGGACATCGTTCTGCTGCTGTCAAGGAGAAAATCAGAGCCGTGCGGCCTGTGCCTGAAACTCCCCAACGGCTCCTGACAAGTTGCCAGCTCCAACTAATTGACTTAACGCTTTGTGGAAAATTTCTGAATGTCTAAAGAAAAAAAGCATCGCGTACCGCAAGGGAGACAGGAGTGGGCAAAGGTGGGTGGGAGGTGGGCAAGACAGGAGCTTCCTTTAGCATCTATACTTTTACTTTAGGATTCAAAAGTTAAAGAACTATACAGTAATTGTAATTTTTTATGAATAAGAACATGTAATCACGTGGACTGCAACTGTTGCAAAACTTTCAGGGATAAAATGTTAACTTTACATTGTAATGTTTCTAATGCAAGGCACGGATTCAGATACTCCTGACTGAGTTTTTTGGTAGCAGCAGTAGCTAGTGGAAAGTCCTTTCAACCCAGAGGGCCTAAAGAGGAATTCTCTCTCCTTCGCCCTCAAGGAAATTTGATTCCATCTCCTGAGAGACGTTCATAATTGGTGTCCTTTTGTTTTAAGATTTTATTTATTTATGAAAGACACACACACACACACAGGCAGAGACACAGGCAGAAGGAGAAGCAGAGGGGATCCCTGGGTGTCTCAGCGGTTTAGTGCCTGCCTTTGGCCCAGGGCATCATCCTGGAGTCCTGGGATCGAGTCACGCATCAGGCTCCCTGCATGGAGCCTGCTTCTCCCTCTGCCTGTGTCTCTGCCTCTCTCTCTCTCTCTCTCTCTCTCTCTCTCTCATGAATAAAAAATAAAATCTAAAAAAAAAAAGAAGGAAGGAAGGAAGGAAGGAAGGAAGGAAGGAAGGAAGGAAGGAAGGAAGGAAGGTGAAGCAGGCTCCATACAGGAAGCCTGATGCAGAACTCTATCCTGGGACTCTGGGATCACACCCTGAGCCAAAGGCAGAAGCTCAACCTCTGAGCCACCGAGGCATCTCCATAATTGGTGTCCTATCTCAAAAATGGCAATATTTCACTTTTTAATTTGGCAAAAAACATGTAAAAAATCTTGACAGGTTTTGAACTTTTAAAAAACTCAATGGCTGCTCAGAGTTAGGGAAGGCTAAAATGGTTAGCTCCTGGACTAGGGATCTAGTCTAGGGGATCCTTGATTCTAAGACTGCTGTGCTACAACTACCTGCACAATAGCCTGTTTTTGGCAGTGTGGCTTTGCACCAAATTCTTCTCTTTTCTCAATTTTCTACCTTGTCCGATGGAAATTAAAAATACATGTATTTCTGGGGACCTGGGTGGCTCAGTCGGTTAAGCAGCTGTCCAGCTTAGGTCATGAGCCCTGCATTGAGCTCTCTGCTCAGTGGGGAGCCTGCTTCTCCCTCTCCCTCTACCTGACACTCTGTCTACTTCTGCTCTCTCTCTGTGTCAAATAAATAAAATATTTTTTAAAAAGCACATGTAGGGGATCCCTGGGTGGCTCAGCGGTTCAGTGTCTGCCTTTGGCCCAGAGCGCCATCCTGGAGTCCTAGGATCAAGTTCCGCGTCGGGCTCCTGGCATGGAGCCTGCTTCTCCCTCTGCCTGTGTCTCTGCCTCTCTCTATGTCTATCATGAATAAATAAATTAAAAATATTTTTTAAAAAAGCACAGGTATTTCCTTCTTCACAGGTGTTTGAGGTCCAAATGAAATGAGAGACATGTTACATTAGGTCTTTCAAATTATTTTTTTAATTAGTTAATTTATTTGAGAGAGAGAGAGATAATGAGAGAAAGCACATGGGAGTACAGGGAGCAGAGAGTGAGGGAGAAGCAGAATCCCCACTGAGCAGGGAACCCAACTCAGGTCTCATCCCAGGACCCTGGCACCATGACCTAAGCCAAAGGCAGACTTTTTTTTTTCTTAAGATTTTACTTATTTATTCATGAAAGACACACAGAGAGACATAGAGACATAGGCAGAGAGAGAAGCAGGCTCCTCAAGGGGAAGCCAATGTGAGACTCGATCCCAGGACCCTGGGACCAGGACCCTGGGACCACGACCCTGGGACCACGACCCAAGCCAAAGGCAGACTTTCAACCACTGAGCCACCCAGGTGCACCAGACACTTAACCCAGTTAGCCACCCAGGCGCCCCAGTCTTTCAAATTAAAAGAATTTTTTTTAATTTTTATTTATTTATGATAGTCACACAGAGAGAGAGAGAGAAAGGCAGAGACATAGGCAGAGGGAGAAGCAGGCTCCATGCACCGGGAGCCTGACGTGGGATTCGATCCCGGGTCTCCAGGATCGCGCCCTGGGCCAAAGGCAGGCACCAAACCGCTGCGCCACCCAGGGATCCCCTTTTTTTTTTTTTAATTTTAATCTTAAATTAAAAGAATTTTAAATGCTATATATAAATGAGGAGAATTATTGACTAACCAAAAGCATGGAATTATTTGGAGATTGACTCTCCTCAACTTTCAGGGGATTGATATATATGCTGCTTCTTTTGGACCTCTTTGTGCCTACTATAAGAGCTAGGAGCAGAGTTGGGACTAGGGTGAGGTGGGTCAGGCTATTGAGACACTTGCCTTAGGGCACAAAATGTTAAGGAGGTGTGAAAAAAAAACCTCTGGGAGCAAGAGAAACAGCATTTAACATAATTTTTAAGAGTAAAAATTAATAGAAAAAAATACTATTAACAAAATGTCACATTTTACAATAAAGACAAGATCAAGGCCTCTGGGTGACTCGGTCAGTTGGGCGACTGATTCTTAATTTCAGCTCAGGTCATGATCTCAGGAGCCTGGGATTGAGCCCCATGTCAGGCTCTGCACTCAGCAGGGAGTCTGCTTGAGGACTCTCTTTCCCTCTGCCCTTCCCCCTTAAATAAATAAATAAGTCTTTTAAAATAAAATGAAATAAAGTTAAGATCAATAATAGTGCTGCAATGTCATATTAGAACCTGAGGCAAACAGGAAAACCAGTAATACTGGGTTTCTCAGATCCCCTTCTCTAGGTCAGTAGTTGCCTGAGAAAGTACTGGACAATGTTGGATGCTGTAAAGGTAGAAATGTTTTGAAGTGAATTTCTAGCTAAATCATCCCCAAAACATCTGTAGTAGCCTATATATGAATTGTACACATATACAGATGATCTATGGACTCACAGGCTGTAAAATAATAGGGTTGGCATTTGGGTTTATAGATCTCCAGCCCTAACCAAAAGTAAGAAAACCACTATCTTGGCCAAAATAGTCCACATCTTGACTGGCTCAAAGATATCCTGGTCAGACAAGAGAGAATTAAAATCTCCCATAAACCTCCAAATCTCTAATTCTATAGTCAGCCAGGTTCATAAGATCCAAAAAGCAACAGATTTCTGTTTAACACAGGGCTATATGATTTGGATCAAGTTCACTCCATTCCCTAAACTTCCTTAATTCCTCCTCCCCTTTTTAAAAGATTTATTTATCTGAGAGAGAGTGCATGTGCATGCGCAAGCAGGAGGAAGGGGCAAAGGGAGAAGAAGGGAGAATCTCAAGCTGACTCCTCACCAAGCTCAGAGCCCCACATGGGGCACAATTCAGGGCTGGATCTTGCGATCATGACTCTGAGATCATGACCTGAGCCAAAATCAAGAGTTGGACACTTACAGGATGCCTGGGTTGCTCAGTGGTTAAGCATCTGCCTTCAGCTCAGGGCGTGATCCTGCAGTCGCGGAATCGAGTCCCACTTTGGGCTCCCTGCATGGAGCCTGCTTCTCCCTCTGCCTTATGTCTCTGCCCCTCTGTCTCACATGAATAAACAAAATCTTTAAAAGAAGAAGAAGAAAAAAAAAAGAGTTGGACACTTAACCGACTGAGCCACCCAGGGGCTCCTTTGATTCCCTTTTGAATAAATCTTTTCCTTCCTTCAAATGTTTCTGCTTGTGCCCAACACCGTGCTAGGTGCTGACCGCAGAATGATGAACAAGCATGGGAAAGGACAGATGATAAACGAATCAATAAAGAGACGCAACGTGACAATTTCAGCCAGTGTTTAAGCCTTGACGAAATTAAAACAAGATGCCATGCAGGACTGGAGGCAGAGGTCCCATTTAGATTTAGTGCTCAGTGTGATTAAAAGGAGCAGGAGAGGGGCAGCCCGGGGGGCTCAGCGGTTTAGCTCCGCCTTCAGCCCAGGGCCTGATGCTGGGACCCGGGATCCAGTCCCACGTCCGGCTCCCTCTGACTGTGTCTCTCTGCCTCTCTCTCCGTCTCTCATTAATAAATAAATAAAATCTTAAAAAAAAAGAAGAAGAAGAAGAAGAAGGAGCAGGGGACTATCACGATTAACACACTGATTCAAGTCATAAAAAGATCTCCTGAGCTGCCAGAGAGAGTCCCCTAGAACTGCAGCCATTCGCACCAGAAAAGACTGTGGCCCGGACTGGGGTGGTAGCAGCGGTTCGGTAGGCGCCTGTGCAAAAGGTGTGTTCCCCTTTAAGAACCCAGGCTGCAGGGGCGAGGCAGAGCGGGCGGCTCGAGGCGGCCCAGGACGCGAGGTCTGACGCGGGAGGAGCCGCCCCTCGGATTGCGCGCGCGCCGCTCGGGGGCGGGACTTGGGCGAGCCCGCATGGCTTGCTCGGGCCCCGGATGAGGAAGTGCGGGGTGGGGTTGGGAGGGGGGGCAGCAAGGAGGAAGAAGACCATAGAGACGAAGAGGCGGTGGCGGCTGGAGCGCCCCCGGGCTCTCTCGGCTCGGTAGGCTCAGGTAGCTTTGGCGGCGACGGGGCTGCGGCTGCAAAGGCCGGGCTGGCGGGGCGAGCGCGGGCCGCGGAGCAGGCCCCAGGGTAAGAGGCCGAGGGCGGGAAGGCTTCGGGCGCTGCCGCCCCGCTGCACCCTGAGGGGACCCTCCGCCGGGCGCTGCAGGCTGAGGGGTCCCCGGGCCGCCCCCCCCTCCCCGCCTCTTGGGGCGCCGGAGGGAACGGAGGCTGCTCTGCGGGCGGCGGAACAACCCGGGGAGAGGGAGGGGACCAGGCCCCGCGTCGCCGGAGGGGGGGGGAGGGAGGGACGGCTTCTCCGAGTCGTGGCTCCGACGGGGGAGAGATACTCCTCTTCCACCTCCCTACGGCGGGGGACCCCCAACTTCTCGGGGAGGGCGCCGCCCCTTGTCGTGGGCGCACGCTCTTCCCCCGCGCCTGTGCATTTGTCAGCGGCGCAGTGTCCGCTCCCCGGGTGCGGGGGGGGTGGGATTCTCAACTTCTCTCAATAGGAGGGGTGGTAGATAGCCCCCGGATATGGCCAGCGCCCCCCCAGACAGAGTGGCGAGCCTCAACTTGCCTGCAGGTGTTGGGGCGGGGTGGGGGGTGGGGGTGTCTTCCTTCCCTGTAAAAGAGAGACGTACCTTCTTTCTTTTATTTTTCACCTTTACTCCTAGATACAAAGAGAATAGACCCTGAACTGACTTGGTAGTTAGTGTTAGAAGTCCGTCTCCCCGCTCCCCCCAGCCCCCCGCCTCCCATCACGTCCATCGAGGGGGCCTCGCCTTCTCTTCCCTCAGGTCTCTGGGTGTGCAATGAGCTCCTTCTCGCTCAGTTCAGAGCATGGCGTCTGGAATATGGTAGTGGCAAGTCTACGTCCCCATTTCCCCATCTTTGTGACCTTGGTTGTTGGACCTTTCTGACCACCGATCACCCCTCCCCCCCATCTCTAACTTGGGTTCTCTAATTTTGCTCTTTGTAGAGCGTCGTCTTAAGGACTAAGGGAGAATTTGTGTAAGTGCTTAGGGCATAGTAAAGCATTTGGTACATTGTTGCTGCCATCGATACTTAATTTGTTGTCGTTGTTATTGAAGAAAGCAAACTAATGTCTTCCCAAAGAGACGCAGATTTCTCCTTGCAGGCCTCTTCCCATCCCCCACCCCCACATCACAGGTGTTCAGCCCCAGCCTTTCTCACTAGTAAAGGAGACTTTCCCTCCACCCTGGGGTGGAGAAAGAGGCATTTCTACTCCGTTTAGGTTCTTCCATGCTCCCCATGAACAAAGAGGGTCTCTGAATAATCAGGAGAAAAGACTTTGTTTTTGGAAACAGGTCTGTACTCGAGAGGGAGGGGGAACTGCTACTAAAAAGGCAGCCTTCCCTTTGTCCACAGAAGCTATCACTTCTTCCTGGGTGGTTAGAGATGTCCTCTCCCACTCCCCCTACCTGCTGTAGCCATTAAAAAGCTTCCTGCTTATCTGCACACCTCCCCCCTCCTCTGGAGCTTCTAACTTCTTTTCTCTCCCAAGAAAAATAAGACTCTCTACCTTTGAGAAGAAGACTCTTTCCTGTAGTGTATTTAGAGTGGCACAGATGGTTTCCTTCTCCTCTTGCTTTGAAAAAGAAATGAAAATCTTTTATGCAGAAAGCCTTTGTCAGACATTAGGAGCATTTTCGCTGTTTCACTCCCCATGTGGAGACAGAGGGATCCTTTTTCTGAATGCTAATAAAGGAAGGGAAAGGGAAACAGTGCTTGATGCTTTTGAAATTTCCTGCACACTCCATGTTGAAGAGCTGGGCCCTGTGTAGTATATAGACTTCCCTCCCCGACTTTCTGTTTGTCTAGAGATCTTGTTAAAAGATTCTTCTTTCTCTGTCCCTCAAGAAGAGGCCCCTTCTCCGAATGCCCTCATGGAGGCATTGGCTACAGTGTCCGAGTCTTGGAAAAGAAAGCCCCTTTCTCAAGGTGAAAGGAGTGTTGTGAACTTCTGAGGGCCTGATCAATATTGTGAGTATTGTCCTTTGACACAAGTGTGGCAGCGCCGGGTGTTACTAACCGTTCTTCGTTTTGAGCAGCCCTTTTGCATTGGAATTAAAGGGAGGGGAGACCCTCAGACTGGGGATTATTGGGCACATGGTTTTCTCCTCTGCTGTTTTCTTTGTTTGATTCCTCTTTTCTACGTTTTACTTACTGCTGTAAACTTTGTACCCCCCCCAGAACTTTTTGTTTTAGGGAGTATTAACTGAAAGGGCCACATTGTCAGGATTTTAGTATTATGAAATGTATTCTAATGAGATTGAGAGTTGCATTGTTAATCTTTCACCGGTAGTTTATTTTCTTCTTTTCATGTTTTTGTTATTTGGTGGGATAGGAATTAATGCTGCCTCTATGAAAAAGCTTTCCATCTTTTTTGTGTGTGAAGTGTTCCTTAAATTACTTCCTATGCCATGAGTACGTGCAGTGGGGCTTACTTAGTTAGAACTCTACCACCATTGTTGGTATCTATAGAAGTACTTTGAGGAACAAAGCGAAATAGAAAAGTTATCATTTAGAGTCACGGGATTTTTATGGGTGGCAGGACCCTTTGAGGTTACTTTGTTTTATTCATTTTACATGTGAAAAACAAGCCCAGGAAAGTTAAGTGACACATTCAAGGCCGCATAGCCTGCAGGATGGGGACCCTGATCTCCTAGTTTGGAGACCAGCAACTAGATTGCTTCCCAGCACTGCTGTTGCATTTGACATACACAGGTTTTGAGATGATTGTTCTCAATTCAAAAGAATTTCTTCTTTTATTGGGGTAACTTTATTGCATACTCCGTATAAATATGAGCTTTTTACAGGAATAAGTCCATTCCCTAAACAATCTGATTCTCATTTGTGTCGCAGTAAGGATGACAAGCCAGTAGCAGCTGGTAGGAGTTGTTTGAATCTATGATTTATTTTTTGCTTATACCTCAAACTAGATAATTACCTAGTATCCTCACCCAGTAGGTTGGTTATAAGTCATTAGTAAGAATTAAGCTATAAATCCCTGCCTTCATTTTATGAACATGTGTTATTCACTGTTTCCTCTTCAAGTTTACTTAACACTCTACTGTAAAAACTTTTATGGTTGAGGCAGAGAGCTGACATTTGGAAAGATATTGATAAAGTAAAGGGATAATACACTTACTGGTTATTCTTTATTCCTATTTGGATCTTGGGAAATAATGTTTAAAAAGTGTTTTAACAGAAGTAACACACACTTATTGTAAAAAAACACACACACACACACAAAACTGCAACATATAAGTTGTTTGTGATCCTATCACCCAGGGTAATACTGTTAATATACTGTTAATATAATATTTGATTATATTTTTTCAGTTTTCCTATGTGCATATTTTACCAAAATAAGAGTTCTGATGTTTAGTTTGATAAACTATCCCAGGGAGCTTTCTTTGTATTGTAGAGTTATGTTTCTTTACACCATTTTTATTTTATTTTATTTTATTTTATTTTATTTTATTTTATTTTATTTTATAATGTTTTAAAGATTTTATTTATTTATTCATAAGAGACACACAGAGGGGGGGGGGCAGAGACACAGGCAGAGGGAGAAGCAGGTTCCATGCAGGGAGCCTGATGTGGGGCTCGATCCCGGGACTCTAGGATCACGCCCTGGGCTGAAGGCAGGCTCTAAACCACTGAGCCACCAGGGATCCCCTACACCATTTTTAATTGTTCCAGTGTATTTAGAAATTAAGTTTTAAAGAACTTGAATATCTTGTTAAAATTTTGTTCTGATCCTGCAGTCTGTGGCATTACCAGTATTTTGATAGATGGCTAAAATAAGAGTTTGGTGGTACAGGCTAGTGAGCTGAGAATAATTTTAATCTGCTACTCTAAGCTTGCATCTAAATATACTTCAACTCTCATGGTTCCAGCGAGACACTCACCTATTCTGGGTGACTCAACTGCAGATACTGCTCAGAAACTTGAGGACCCAGGATGGGGCAAGGAGAAAAGGAGAGAAGTCTGCTTTGCTTCAATGGCCAGTGTGCTTAGTTGTTTCATAGGTTGAAAATTCTTAGAACGATATCTTTAACAAACAGGTTTCAAGAGATGATAGCTTTGTGGTGTTTGGCTTTTGTAAATTGGATGTTATTTCAGGGGAACCAAAGCTTTAAAATTCTGTTTTGGCCAATGCCAGTTTACAGTGTAGATGCATAGGAAATGTAATGGCATTGTTTTCCTTGAAGAATATTTTGAACCATTCTATGTGATTATCAGTATTGCCTCTTCATGATACAGATCTGTTTAGCAAATGTGTATTTGTGCATGGTCCTGTGTTTGGAACAAATCTTGAATTGGGACCATGGGGATGGAAAGGAGTGTGATTTGTTAGAGATACCATAGGAGTTGAGTCCATGGACTGCAAGTGCTAATGTAACAAGTAGAAGGTCAGATATGGTTATGTCTAGATGTTCAAGTCTGAGCCCTAGAATAATGGGAGTGTTGTTACCAAGAGAGGCAACATGATAAAAAATAAACATGTAAGTTTACTGAGAACATCTTACTCATCTTCGTTTCTCATAGCTGTTTGTATGTAGTAAGACTCAATTATTCATCGGGTTAAATGGGTTCCATCATAGATATGTTAAGTTTGGGAGGGGTACCATCCTTATAAATGAAATATTGGTCAGGAATTTGAGAAGAGATGGGGGCTGGGGACAGGTATTTTTATTTTTGTTTTAAATCAGCTTTCAGATATAATTTGCATGTCATACAATTCATCAACTTATATAATTCATTGGTTTTTAGCATAGTCACAAAGTTTTGTAACCATATCAACAATCAATTTTAGAACATTTTTATTGCCCCCAAAAGAAACTCTGTTAGCAGTCACTTCCAGTTTTCCCATCTCTCACTGAGCAACCAGTTATTCGCTTTCTGACTCCTTAGATTTGCCTACTCTGGATGTTTTATATAAATGAGTTCTTATAATATATGATTCTTTGTGACTGGGTATCTTATTTACCATAATGTCTTCAAGGTTCATCCACGTTGTATCAGATCAGTATTTCATTCCTTTTTACAGCCAAGTAATATACTATTGTATGGATATGCCACTTTGTTTATCCATTCATCAGTTGATGGGCATGTAAGCTGTTTCTGCTTTTTGGCTGTTGTGAATAGTGCTGCTAACAAACATTTGGGTACTAGTTTTTGTGCATGTATACCTAGTAGTAGAATTGTTGGCTCATGTGGTCACCTATACTTAAAGGGTTTTGAGTCATCTGCATAGTAGAAAGGTTATAAAAGAGGTGAGGTCATCAAAAAAGTGAAGCCTGGAATGGGGAGGCGTATCAAGGATTAAACTTTTGAGAACACTCACACTTTAGTGCAGGCAAGCGAGAGGACCTCTTGCATATGTGATAATAGAGAGCCAGGGAGCCTATCTCCATCAACAAACCTGCTGTTTGACAGTATCTTTTCCTGCACTTATTCTTCCAGTCTGTATGTGGTTAATAACCAAAAACTAGATTGGGTCTGTTGTTGGGAAAGGAAAACTGAACCAATTGAAAATTGGGCACCCCCTCCCTTTTTTTTGGTGTGCAGTAGCAATTCTACTTCAGCTTTTAACACACACACTAAGTGGCCTAAACTTTAAAGGGCCCCTAAAGGGACACCTGGGTGGCTCACTGGTTGAGCATCTGTCTGCCTTGGGCTTAGGGCGTGATCCTGTATTGGGATCAAGTCCCACATTGGGCTCCCTGCGAGGAGCCTGCTTCTCCCTCTCTTATATCTCTGCCTCCCTCTCTCTCTCTCTGTCTCTCATGAATAAATAAATAAAGCCTTTAAAAAAAAATAAATAAAGGTGCCCCTAAAAATATCCAGGAGCTAGAGGAGAAAGGGGAGGATTGTAGCCCCAAAAATGATACATTTTGTGAGCACCTTTTATGAAAGTGTCTCATTTGATTATCACCATACTCCTGGACACAACAGTTTATTTCTCCTTGCTGCTTTTTTTTTGTTTTGTTTTGTTTTTTAAGATTTTATTTATTTATTCATAGACACAGAGAGAGAGAGGCAGAGACTCAGGGAGAGGGAGAAGCAGGCTCCGTGCAGGGAGCCCGATGTGGGACTTGATTTCCGGGTCTCCAGGATCACACCCCAGGCTGCAGGCGGCGCCGCCAAATCGCTGCGCCACCAGGGCTGCCCTCCTTGCTGCTTTTTTGGATTAAAATTTTTCCATCAGCCCTCCTGTGTTCTTTAAACTGAATGGACTAACAGTCTGATTTCCTGTAATTTCTAGTATTTAAATTAGTAGTGTAATGTTACATACTTTTATGTTTGGGGAGGAGTCCTTCAAAACATTAAGGACACCCAGTAGATGAAAGCATAGGAACGTGAGTAAGTAAATAATCTACCACAGGTTGGGAAACCAGAAGAAAGACAGAATGGCCCAAAATGAAAGGACCTGTCTGTCATCTGTCCCACCTCAGCCCCCAGCTTCAGTCTTTTTCTTTCTTTTTTTTTTTTTTTAAGATTTTTTTATTTATTCATGAGAGACACGGAGAGAGGCAGAGACATAGGCAGAGGGAGAAGTAGGCTCCCTGAAGAGAGCCTGGTGAGGGACTTGATCCCAGGACCCCAGGATCACAACCTGAACCAAAGGCAGAGATGCTCAACCACTGGCCACCTAGGTGCCCCCCCTTTCCCCCCCAGCTTCAGTCTTGATAGCACAGGTCAAAAGATGGGACCTTCTGTGCAAGGAGGAAGGATTACAATCTTTCAGTCTTTAAACCCAGGAATATTCAAGGAGCGGATACTTCTTAACCTAGAGGCAGAGCATGTGTCTTGTTTAAGTGACATGTGTCGACTACCCCAGAAATTCAGGGCAGGAATAGAAACAGGGTCCAGGGAAACTGAATTGTAAAGATTTACATGGTATATTGGAGAGTCCCTCTTGCTCAGAAATCTGAATGTGGTCAGTGGAGAGAAGGTAAGACAACTCAAAACAGTTTGGTAGCCAGCAATGGATTTTGCTTGTATGTAATAGGTTTATTTTGGTAAAGATGGATGTTAGTGAGTGGTAGGGAGTAGAAATCTGCTGTCTCTTTGAAATATCCTTTCCTGTGTATGTTTTGGCCAAAGGGATTTGCCATCAATACCTCAGATAAATCCTTGTTATGAACTCAGTTGCCAGAAATTTCTTAACGTTTTCTCTCCTTTTGTTAGGATTAGGGAAGGTATCAAGAATGAATGCATATAGTATCTTATTTGGTTAACTAGTTTCCACCTTGGCTAAGTCAAAGTGGATTTTGTTGTGGAAACTACACACACTTGGTAGACTAAAATGGAAAAATTACCAATCAGGAAACCCTGGTTCCAAAGGTACTATTTCCTAGCTGTATGTGTGTCTGTGTGCGCGTGTGCGTGCATGCTCCTGTGTGCTTGCATGTGTGTGTTAACTTTAATAATGTCTTTTTATGAACTACACAAGCATACGTATTTTAGCAAATAACCCGTTTCCACTCTCCGGTGCAAGAATTAAAACATTTCCAACACTGTAGAAGTCCCTTGGGTTTCCCTGCCCCCTCCTTGAAGAACCCTGTAATGTTTTAGGCAGGTCACTTTTACCTGTTCAGGGTGATGTTAGGATCTGTAGTGGGATGGTGATAGTGGCTCTGCTTTGTTCACGGGGTTGTGAAATTCAAATATGTTATATCTGTGAAGGCACTTGGAAAATCTCAAGATGCTGAATAAGTCAGAGAGGATTCTGCTAAAGATCTGGTTTAGTAGTGTCTTGTGCCAGTCTGGATAGATACAGCTCAAGTGTTTGGTAAGCAGTAAAGGAATGGAATTCTGTTGTCTCTATACTTGCTTTCATAGAGAATTCTTCTTGAGGAAAAGTCAGTATATCAGATTCCTCAGAATCCCTCAGTATATGTTCATTCAGCAAGTATTTACTGAATACCTTCTATATGACAAGCACCTCTCCCAGGCAGTAGAGAAATAGCAATGAACAGAATAGGCAAGGTTCATGCCCTGAAAACAAGTAGACAATCATCTTTATCTTCTAATTTACATCAATTCTATCCTTGGGTGCTTAGACATGTCTTATTCTCATCCACATTTGCTGGCCCTCCAGGTTTAAATTGGAATTGTTTGTAAGGCAGTATTTGAGTTGAGATTAGACAGATGTCTATTAAAGGTTTAAGATATTTATTTTTCTACTCACAGTCTTTAAGGAGGATGTTTGGTGCCAGATGTTGCCAGCATTTGAGGTGGAATTTTTTCACCTTATTTTAGCCAGTTTTAGCTGAAGCAGCTTTCTTCTACCCTGTAAGATTTTAAACTTTTATCCCTTCCTTTGATTTGTGTCAGGGTGAACCGTTTGATGTAAAAGACTTGACTCCATAATCTTCCATCTGCCCTAATGCTGTCATCCGGAGTAGAGACTCAGCCAGTTCCACTTGATTCCTCCATGTCTGCCGTGGTACAGGAATTATACTCTGAACTCCCTGTGAGTGTCTCCAAAGAGCTTCATGCTGACCCTGAACCAAGTGTGATTCCAGATGTAAAACCCGGAGCCTCAAGCTCTCTTATAAGTCAGAGTAGGGCAGTGCCCTTGGAGCTGCAGAGGACTCGTGCGGAAAGTTGTTGTGAAGAAACTTCTGGCACCTTGGATCATGGGGGTGAGCCTGGGCGGTGTGGGCTGGTGGACTCCACAGCAGGAGGTTCTGTGGCTTCTGGGATCTTGGATAGGGAAGAGAAAACCAAGAGCGTGGAGCTAAAGGTCTTCAGAGATCAAGGGGACCAGGCGGAAATTGTAAGAGACCCCTGTGAGGGAGCAAAGGAAGACCCACATCAACATTCCACAGCTGCTGAAGAAAAGATCAGCCTAAGTCAGGTAAGACATGAGATCTCAATTCAGATGAGTGTGAATGACAGCTTTCCAGAGTAACACTTCACTTGATAAAGTACAGATGCTGACAGGGTAGCTTATGATTTTTTCTTGAAACATTTCCAAAATGTTGATTTTGATGTTAATTTTCTTTTGACGATGTTTTAAAACATTTGTGTCACATGAGACACTTGAGAGAAAGTGCTTATCTAATGAAAAAGTGTCACTTCTCTGAAGCAGCTACTGTATGTGGAATGTTGAGTTTCTATGTGATACTTCTGCATCTGATTTTAAGAAATGATGGGTACTCATTCCTTAAGTTTTGGTAGCATCATGAATAGGATGGAGGGACATATCACAGAGAAATCTCTGAGGGACTCTGCTAACCCAGGTAGGGCTTCATAGGTCCCTAGAGGGATCTCCATATTTTAGGAGCTGGTCCTTAATTTTGTAGGTCTAGAAACAACTTTTATTTTCAAGCATATTAGAGGTTATTGTCTCCAAAAGACTGACCCATGCTAATAATCTACCTCATGAGAGACTAAAGTATAAGTCAGAAAGCCATTTCTTTAATTCATAGTGAAAAGTGGAATCATTACTTGGTAGGAATGGTCACACTGGCTGGTCAGTATGTCTTCTCCCTGTAGGCAAGCCTATGTGGGAAATCAGTCTCTGTAAGTGTGAAATTAATAGGGTTTACATAGGTAGGACTAATGATTAGTGAGCTGTGGTAGCCCGAGGAACCCAGATTCCTAAAGGAATATACCTGCCAAGTACACTAGAAAACTTACTTTCTCCTACGGATGATGCCTTAGACCAGGGTTCAGCAAACTTTTTTTCTGTACAGGGCCATATTGTAAATATTTTAGACTTTGTAGGCCATAGGGTCTCTGTCAGAACTACTCAGCTCTGCCCTTGTAGCATGAAAGCAGGCATAGACAGTACATAAATGGATGAATGTGGCTCTATTTCAGTAAACCTTTTTTATAAGGTACTGACCCGTGGTCTATAGTTTGCCAACCCCCCACTCTAGACCCACAAATAAATTCATATTATCTGGGCTTTCTGGACTAAGCTCTATTTCCCACCTTGTAAATACGTCATTTGTTTACATAGGTTACAGGGCATTTGATTGTTGTTAGTAGGCTTCATATGTTGACCATAGTTAAGAATAGATTCATCTTTAGATAGTAGTAATTAAGTAACATAACAGATTTTATGCTATGATGATCTGCCCTTAAAAATATAAATGAAGGGGGATCCCTGGGTGGCGCAGCAGTTTGGCGCCTGCCTTTGGCCCAGGGCGCGATCCTGGAGACCCGGGATCGAATCCCACGTCGGGCTCCCGGTGCGTGGAGCCTGCTTCTCCCTCTGCCTGTGTCTCTGCCTCTCTCTCTAGCTCTCTCTCTGTGTGACTATCGTAAAAAAAAAAAAATATATATATATATATATATATAAATGAAGGGATCCCTGGGTGGCGCAGCAGTTTGGTGCCTGCCTTTGGCCCAGGGCGCGATCCTGGAGACCCGGGATCGAATCCCACATCGGGCTCCCGGTGCATGGAGCCTGCTTCTCCCTCTGCCTATGTCTCTGCCTCTCTCTCTCTCTCCCTCTGTGACTATCATAAATAAATAAATTAATTAAAAAAAATATATATATATATAAATGAAGTAATAGATTCAAGATCTAGATAGAAGTTTCTTCTTGAAATGGTGGGCTCGGTCTAAGGTGAAAATTTTCTGTGATTTATCAAAAATTTCATGTAGTATTTGGTATAAAAGTACATATACAAAAATTGTTAAGTACGTAGTGAATTTAATACATTCACATGTATATATATGCCTCTCAACCTAAGATCCAGAAAATTACTGTACCTTACTCCCTCTCAGCTCCACCAGAGAGAGATAAATGCTATTCTGAATTGTATAAAGCAAAACGAAAGTTATTTTTTTTATTTTTTTTAAAGATCTTATTTATTTATTCATGAGACAGAGACTCAAAGAGAGAGGCAGCGACATAGGGAGAGGGAGAACCAGGTTCCCTGAAGGGAGCCTGATGTGGGACTCAATGCCAGGACTCTGGGATCACAACCTGAACCAAAGGCAGATGCTCAACCACTGAGCGACCCAGGTGCCTGGAAAATGAAATTTAATAGGTATAAATGTAAGAGTTTTTTACTTGATTTCAAAAAGTGAACTTCATAAGTGAAAAAAAAAGCAGAAGTACTTTTGGAGAAACAAAAGACCTGCAGATTTTAGCTAGTCATTTAGAATTGACTTTGTAGGATACCTGCCAAGAAAAGCCAATTTGCGCTTGATATGTACATTAACAGAAATGTGTTACCTGGACTGAGAAATAACAGTTGTACTCTGTTGTGTACCTAGAATATCACACTCACAGTCCTCTCTCCTCCCCCCAGCACTCAGATTAGCTCAGGATGCCCCTGGAGGTGGAGAGGGCAGAGGGGAAGCAAGGAATGTGTCAGTGTTGGGGTCACTGGCCAAAGTGATCATGTCCTCTCCTCCCCATGCTGAGCCTGGTGTCACGTATCATGTGTAGGCAGAGTATAGAAAGCCAGAAATGCATTCATGATAAAGAATTAACACTAATGACAAAAAACTGAAAATAAGCATTGGAGGCCAGTTGCTAGGGTGTGTCCTATAAAAGAAGAATCAAGTAAGAGAAGCCTTCAATAATTTGGAGAGCTGTCAAGCAGAAGTGGTTCTGTTTGGCACAGTTAGGCTCTGTAGAAGATATAGTGTATGTAGCTCAGTCATTCTCAGGTCACAGGACCCTTTGAAAATCTGAATGAATGCTTTTCTGATCTCTCAGAAAAGGATACCACTATTTTAGAAGGTTTTTAGAGCCTAGACATCCTTGGATATCAAGATAAGAATTCTTGCTAGATTGGCAGAACAAACAGACAAAAACAGTTGATGAATTAGGAGAATATTTTGCAATATATATCACAGATAAAGAACTTACCTCTCTAATATGTAAAGAACTCCCTTTTTTAAAGATTTTATTAGAGAGAGAGCATGCGCAAGAGAGCAATGAACGCATGAGCAGAGGGAGGGGCAGAAGGAGAGGAAGAAGCAGGCTCCCTGCTGAGCAGGGCTCAATCCTAGGACCCTGGCTTTATGACCTGAGCCAAAGGCAGACAGACACTTAACCAACTGAGCCACCCAGCCACCCCATAAAGAGCTCTCCCTCTCTTTTTTTTTTTTTAAGATTTTATTTTTAAGTATTTTTTTATACCCAAAATGGGGTTCAAACTTACAACTCTGAGATCAAGAGTTGAATGCTCTACTGACCAAGGCAGACCAGCTCCCCACTGATATATAAAGAACTCTTAGATTGAGGAATGGAAAACCCAATAGGAAAAAAAAAAAAAAAGAAAGAAAGAAAGCCCAATAGAAAAATGAAGGAAAGACTTGAATAGATGATTCATGTTTGTGTGTGTGTGTGTGTTTGTTGATGTGTGTATTCTTAAACACATGAAGAGGTAGTCAATCTCACTTATAATTAGAGATATGTAGTTTTAAACATTAAAAATACCACTTTTTACTTAACAGATTGGAGAAAATGAAAAATTATGGCAACATATCTTATTGGCAAGGCTGTGAGGAAAAAGGTGTTCTCACATGTTGTTGGTGGGAATGCATACTGATAGAACCTTTCAGAAGAGGAATTTGGCTACACCTAACCAGAATGCATATGCTCTCACCTGTTGACCCAGCACTCTCATTTCTAGGAATCTACCCCAAATATACACCTCCAAATTATAGAAACACATATACCCAAAGTTAACTGTAGCATTGCAAAATGTTGGAAGCAATGTAAATGTCCACTTATAGAGAAGAGGCTGAATAAACTATAGTGTGTATATGGAACATCCATACATGGGGCACTATGCTCCTATAATAAAGAATTGAAGATCTCCATGTACTGATACGGGGTGATTTCCAGGTGTGTCATGGCTCCTCAGGACCACCTCCAGGTTTGGGGATTCACTGGAACTCATAGGACTCACTCAGCACATGGTCATACTTGTAGCTAAGAGTAATTGTAACAAATGGGTATAAAGCAATCAGCAAAGGAGAAGCATGGTGCAAAGTTCAGAAAATATCAGGTGCTATAGCTTCCAAGAGTCCTCTCCCAGGGTAGTCCCCCCCCACCACCACCACCACACAGTCTTTTCCAAGAACAAACAGTGACAACACATGTGAAATGTCTACCATGAAAGCTTGTTAGAGCCCAGGGGTTTTACTAGGGACTGGTCATATGAGCATCCTCTGCCTGGCACATAACAAAATTCCAGACTTCCAGAAGGAAAGCAGGTGTTCAACACAAACACCATTGTCATATGGGTGCACCAAGCCACTCTTATCCTTAGGAAATGTTGGAAACTCTCCCAAAATCTAAGTTCCCAGATGAGCCCAGGCCACCCTTGCAAGCAGGCCTTTCTAAGGATAACAGGCTTACTATGTTAACTTTTTTTCTGCAAACTAGGATATACTGGTTAATGAAAAGAGCAATGGGCAAGTAAACATCAACTGTATCCTCCCATTCAAGAAAGTAGGGGAGATGAGTATACAAGTATCTGCTCGTTTGTATAAAACACACATATACATACACATAGGAAGGATAAACCAGAAATGAATGGGTTTGAAGCCAGTGGGAGCTGGATAGAGAGCATGGGAATGGGATAGAAGGAACAGGAGGAAGTATACTTCTCTGAGTACATCTTATTCTGAGTACATGTTTGGTACAACTATACATCTGAGAATAGTTCTGAGGCTGTACTTGAAAAAATAACTAATTAGACAACCAGGATGTGAGAGAACCCAAAATTGAATAAAAACTCCAACGGATGACTCTTAACAAATGAATAATGAAACCATACTAAGGGAGGGGGGGGATGAAGAAGAAAAGTGACCCAAATAGCTTTGGGAAACAGTATTTCGACTTTTAAGTCTAAATCCAATAAACCCAAAACATTTTTT